GCGGAGTATCCTCTTCTTTTTCGAGCGCGAAAATGTTCAGCGTACAGCCAAATCGTAATAAAATTGCCTTCTTCACGAATATAAAGCTCTATCAGCTCAGGATCACTGTATACGTATGCAGACAATACTACGGTCTATTGTATAGGGGAAATTGCAGACACAGATATTGCACAGTTAAATGCAGCGCTGCAAGAGTTACATGCATGGTGACTTAACAATCTTTCAACACTTCATCCATGGAATTGGAATATTATAAATTTTAAATTTTATCGCTTTACTATATAGTAACTTAAACATATGTTTTAATTATACATGTATTTAAATTTGGTATTTCATATCTTGTTTTATATCTAAAACTTTTAATTTAACTTTGTAGTTATTTTATTTTATGCTCGACCCCACAAGCTACTAGCTTTAACTACTAATAAAAGTTTGTCGTTTCGTATCGTATCATCCAGGCAAGAGTGAGGTTATGTTACTCAGTAAAGGAACCCCAATGGGACCGATAGCTCTTGAGCTATTAGGAAACTCAATTCTTACGTGGGTTACGAAAGCACGCTTGCTGGGCTTAACAGTTGACCAGAACTGAACTTGCTAAAACGGTACAGATTTCTCCCAGGAGACATATTGAAAGAATTTTATTTTAAAGTAATTTTGACTTCTGAAAATTGGGTTTAGTTCTGTGAGGATCTTGTAGTAATTCTGATATATTCGGTTCAACAGAAAGACTACACTGCAGGGCAGTAAGAATTATATTTAATCTACTTAAGGATAAATCATATGACATCAACCGACGTGCTTGAATACGACCAGTGGCCTACACTTTCTTTGTACTATAAATCAGACATCTTCAAGCTTTTTTACAAAGGCTATAGTGCCACTATCCCCGACTCACTGTCTGAAAACATCCTTAAATGTCGCTCAAATGGTTACTCTCTGAGGGGACGCGACCTTTTGACAGTATTCAGGTTCCAAACAAGATACGTAAAAGACTCGCTCAAATATCGCGGCGCTGTGTTATGGAACACTGTTTGCTACTATGAACAAGAAGTTGGACACTCGAGTCTCAATAATCTGAAAAAAATTAACGCCTACTCACCGGAGACTACTTTAAGGAATTCAAATTTGACATACTTTCCGCTTCTACTGCTCGCTTATACATACCGATTATTTTATTACTTAGAAGTCATAACATCTATCATTTTCTATTTTCAAATTCAAGTTATATTCACATAACGTGAAATTTTCCTTTTTTTTTCACACGACTCCACAAGCTTATAGCTTAAAATATTATCGTGCACAAATAAAGGTCATCATAAAAGTTATCAAAACACAAGGACCAAACTGCATCATCATCGTTGTTGTTGGTTATTATCGAAGGCTTTTCCCTAGCGCATCCATAAAAACATTGATATGCCATATTAAAATGCATCTTTCAAATTCAAATATGCCAAGTTTGGCTGACAAGTAGCCTGTCTTAGCTGATCTTCCCAAACAATTGTTGATAGAGAAAGAGCTTCCAGCAGCGAATCGTCTGACAATAAGAAGAAAGCTAACAATCTAAGTATTGACAGTATGATCACCGGAAAAAAAATAAAAATGAAGATGAAAATGTGCGAATCTCAATCCCTACGCTCTCACA